GGTGTGTAAAACGTCAGCTCTGGGCAGACACAAAGGGGGCCTCTGCGTGGAGTTGACCAACCCACCCATCGTGTGCCGTTCCAGCCTTCGTAGGCGTTCGCTCGCAACACTTGCCGCAACAGTCTGTTAAATTCCACCCGGGGGATCTTTGTCTTTGTACTGCTGTACAAATGAATACAGCATTGCCCTGCTGTGAATGAGGATATTCGTCTACGCTGTGTATGTGTGTGGTGCTGGCCACCCACCCCCCCGTGTGCCGTGCCGGCCTTCATTGGTGCTACTCGCTAACAGCACTTGCCCCAACAATCTGCTAAGGCTACACGGGGGATCTTTGTCTTGTCACTATGGTTACAATGTTACGACGAGCCCCTTTTCGTCAATCCACTGCTGGATGAGTGCCTCCGTACGCCGCGCGCATAATGTGATCATTTGACCACACTCTGCTACGCTGGTCAATGCCAGCTGAAGGTGGGGCTATAGAAGTACCGTACAAGAATTGTTTTTTCTGCACTGCATACAACGTACTCCTCTGCAGCCCATCCAAGCTACAGCAGGGTTCAACCGTGGTTAGCTTGCGAAAAGGCACATTCTGGGGCCAATCAATAGGGCAGCTACTGCTGACTTTCCCACTTGAGTGGTGATGGCATCACGAGGAGGAACTAACTTTAACCACCCATGATGGATGATGATGATGGTGATGACGGTGGTGGCGAGCGCGCCCCTGGCTACAATGTAAACTCATTATTTCTTTATTTTTTAGCTCTGCTGCTTATTTATTTCCGTGTCTGCTTTCGTGCTCCTTCCTTCGCTCGACGTTTTGTTAGCGTGGAAGAGTAGGCCAATGTACCGTAACCCTCAAAGTGAGCTCTCGAAAACCCCCCCCTTCTGCCAGCAGAGACATTGGGCAAGCCATTGCAGAAGCTGCGCCTTACTATAATAACAATGTGCAGTCCACTGCTGGATGAATAACTCCGCACGCCGTCAGTCGCGGGAACAGTTTGACCATACTTCACCACGCTGGGCAATACACAGCCGCCATAAGTTAACAGTTTATAAATGTTGTACATCAGCATACCGTACATACGCACGCAGTACAAACAACAGCACGTATATTATTCATATACACGGCCAGAATGGGACACATACAGGCAGGCAGGCACAGATGGCATTAAAAAATCTGTGCTATGACACATCGAGACAATTAAAGGTCGATTTCAACCATCCGCTTTGCGTGCACGAACAACCTACACATGGAATGCAGATTGCAGCACGAGGTATGTGCCCTTTCACATCTGGTGATACTGTATATATTGATTAGACACACAGACGCAACGTCGAACTCATCATCATCATCATCGTAAACCAATGTCTATCCACTGTTGGATTACGGCCTCCCTAAGCCACTGACCCACACGTGGTATTCATGAACTGAACTGCACGTGTAAGTACGGTAGAACAAATCGCAAACAACAGTGAAAGGGGCACACACACACACATGAGCAACACAGTATAAGCACAAATAACATTGGCGCATGTTAAACAGTGCAGACACAACGGCTCACAGCAGGGACATAACCGCAATTGAAGAAGACACGTCCACACATATTGAATCATTCATACATGGGATGCCAACCGACTTGGGAGGCATTCATCCAGCAGTGGATAGTTAATTGCTGGTGTTGATTTACACTAACAGCTGTCTAATTACGATGACACATACACGGACAAGACAGAGAATAGACACGCACACACGTGTAATAGTGCATGCATAGGTCGCATCAACAAAGACTCGCACGAAGACAAAGACATTACGACAATGACGGCCGCAGAAAACAGACACAATCATGAGAATAGGTTTTCCCCTTTATTACTGGCAACAGAACAGCTGTGTTAAGATGTGAAAACACCAAACTGAAACCTTTCACAAGGAATCATGTCTGCATTAACCACATATACTTGTGGTCAGAATGCGAACGAAAAACATCCTCTGATAGTATGTGCATTGTCTTTGAAGCTGATTGGTCCACACCAGAGATAGCTTTATTTTGAGCCTCGACTCAAACGGTGTTAGACCAGAGGACGCCAAAAGGCGTACACAGCACAAAGACAACGCCACTGTCAGAGTAATGAGAGCTCGGGGTGAGCATCTACATCATTGGACCTCCTTTGCCAGTACCAAAATATGATTGGTGTGGACCAATCAGTTTCAAAGACAATGCATATACTATCAGAATGTGTTTTGTTTGCATTCTGACCACAAGTATACGTGGTTAATTCAGACATGATTCCTTGTAAAAGGTTTCAGTTTGGTGTTTTAACATCTTAACACCGGTTTTGTCGTCAGAAAAAAGGGGAAAACCTATTATCATATTTTGGCATTGGCAAAGGAGGTCCCATGATGTAGATGCTCACCCCGAGCTCTCATTACTCTGACAGTGGCGTTGTCTTTGTGCTGTGTACGCCTTTTGGCGTCCTCTGGTCTCACACCATTTGAGACGAGGCTCAAAAGAAAGCTGTCTCTGGTGTGGACCAATCAGTTTCAAGACGACGCAAATGGGGCCGTCCATAAACGACGTCACGCACCGAGGGGGGGGGGGGGGGGGGGGGGGTTTGAGAAATGTGACGTCACATCAAAATGCGCAACTTTAAATAAATATTAATGAGAAATAATTGTTCTAACAACATTAATTTTTATTAATTTTCATGATTAACTATTTGATTATTTAAATTTACTAAGGTCACCTTTTATTTATTCCATGAAGGAGCATTTTGATTCTCCATTCTCCCATCGAGAACCAAAATGGAATAAATCAATTTGTAATTTTTTTGAATGACTGTTATTAAACATTTTGATTCTAATGATTCTACCAGGGCTTTTCATTCTGTGGAATAAATATGTGATTGTTATAATTGTACTCTCCATTTTGCTTCGTTCTACTACAAACTTTCAAGTATTTTTTATAGTTATAATTACTTTTAATATTTTATAATTATAAGAAAATTTCAATATAATCTGAAAATCTGCAGTTTAAGTTAGACGTTGAATATTTTCAATTGAATAGTATGCTAAATTTCAGCTTTCCAACGCCTCCTTTTTAATAAATGTTTTCTCCTACAACAGCAGAGTGCAGCGCCACATTAAATACGCACTACAATGACAATAGTTTAAAGTTATTTGAAGCATGTTTTTTTTTTCAAAATGGAAACATGGTTTCTGGGGGGGGCAGAGCTTTGTGACGTCATATTTGAGGGGGGTCTGACTTTTGTGACGCCGTGTGACGAGGGGGGGGGGAGGGTCAAAAATCGGCCAAAATCGCGTGACGTCATTTATGGACGGCCCCTATACGATCAGAGTATGTTTTTTTGTTTGCATCCTGACCATAAATATTGTGGTTAATGCAGTAACATAATTCCCTGTCAAAGGTTTCAGTTTGGTGTTTTGACATCTTAACAAATTTTCTTGCTGTGGTTTTCACACCTGATGATGATTGCTTGTGTTGCAGTCGAAACGTCGTGAGAATTTCATTGTTTTATATTTTTTATTATTTTATTGTTTCCCTTCTGCGTGACTTTGCCGAAAGAACCAAGAAAATCTGAACACCTGTTTTGTTGCCATAAAAAAGGGGGAAAAAACCTATTCTCGTATTTTGGTACTGGCAAAGGAAGTTCCATGATGAGACACAATCATATTTCAGGGCCTCGTCAATGGATCCACTGCTGGATGAAGGACTTCCCCAAGTAATGTGTCAGTCAAGGGGTGGACTGTTAACATTGTAGGACCGCGAGGGATGCTCTTTACATCTCGGGGTGGCAGGTGTTCATCCAGCAGTGGATTGATCATGACTGATGATGATGCAGAATACTAAAATAAAACTATTTTTATTTTACCAGCTAAGGCCCACTGAGCTATGTAGCTCCTTTTTCAGAAGCGACCTGGCCATCACAAAGTATAGCCAAATTAAGTGGCTTATCATGTGGCGAGCAACCAAATACCCTAATCGCGTGGATGTTGATTGTAAATGTGGAGGGGGGAAAAACGGAGGAGCCGGGAGAAAAATCCACACAATCACGGAGAGAGAGACACGCAAACTCCACATATACAGCAGGCGTCAGGGTCGGGATCGAACCCAGGACCTCCTGTATAGCGGGTGAGGTAGTTAACATCTCATAACCACCGTGATGATGATGATGAGAGACACGCAAACTCCACATATACAGCAGGCGTCAGGGTCGGGATCGAACCCAGGACCTCCTGTGTAGAAGGGTGAGGTTGTTAACATCTCATAGCCACCGTGATGATGAGAGAGAGACACGCAAACTCCACATATACAGCAGGCGTCGGGGTCGGGATTTCGAACTCAGGACCTCCTGTATAGCAGACGAGGTAGTTAACATCCCATAGCCACCGTGATAATGATGATGACAGAGATGAAAACTCAAAATATACAGCAGGCGTCAGGGTTACCCAGGACCTCCTGTATAGCGGGTGAGGTTGTTAACATCTCCGAAACCACTGTGATGATGGTGACAGAGAGAGACACACACAAACTCAAAATATACAACAGCAGGCGTCAGGGTCTGGATCGAACCCAGGACCTCCTGCATACCAGGCGAGGTAGTTAACATCTCATAGCCACCGTGATAATGACAGAGATGAAAACTCAAAATATACAACAGCAGGCGTCGGGGTCGGGATCGAACCCAGGACCTCCTGTATAGCAGACGAGGTAGTTAACATCTCATAGCCACCGTGATAATGATGACAGAGATGAAAACTCAAAATATACAACAGCAGGCGTCGGGGTCTGGATCGAACCCAGGACCTCCTGCATACCAGGCGAGGTAGTGAACATCTCATAGCCACCGTGATAATGATGATGACAGAGATGAAAACTCAAAATATGCAACAGCAGGCGTCAGGGTCTGGATCGAACCCAGGACCTCCTGCACACCAGGCGAGGTAGTGAACATCTCACAGCGCCCCCGTTGTCCCAGCTCACCCATGTCCGCCTGGATGAGGGCTTTCCCGGCCTTGAGCAGCTCCTTGATGAACTTGCTCGTCTTCTCCAGCTCGGCCTCGTGGATCCTCAACCTCTCCCTGAACTGAGGGCTGTCCAAGTAACACTCGCTGAACTCAAGCGGCGGCAGACCCATGGCGACCGTGGTGATTGAAGGCTGTGGTGTTGGCGATCGTGGTGATGATGATGTTAGTGGTGGTGGTGGTGGTGATGGATTTGATATCCGCGATGATGTTGGTGGTGGTAGGGTTGATGTAATGATGGTTGGACACGGTTGATGGGTCTGATGGTATTCCCGTGGTGGATGCTTATTGTCGGTGGTGTCGTTTGTTGTGGCTACGTGGTGGTGGTGGTGCTGTCAATGACCGTCGTTGATGATGTTGTCGCTGGCGATGCTATTGTTTGTGGTGTTGACGGGCGTGGTGGTGATGTCGGCGGCGGTGATGTTATCGACGGAGGTGGTGTTGATGATCTTGATGATGATGGTGCGGACGGCGCTAACACGGCCGGTCGCATGAAGAATGTATTACGAGACGACAGTCAGCCAGATGCATGCGAGACACTTTCCAAGCGACTCCACTCTCCATTCCGCGCCCTCCGCTCTTTCTCTCTCACGCCTCTCTCGTTCAAATTCTATTTCTCGCCTCGCCTTCACCCCGACCCAACCACAACTGGGCCCCCTCCTCCACCCTCCCAGTCACCCCCAGCCCTCCCTCCTACCACCCTCACCCCCTCCTTCCTCCTCGCTCTCTCCCCTCCTCCCCCTTTCGTCTCCTCGCTCGCTCAGCCTCAATCAAGAATGTTCCATGAAGAAGGGGGGGGGGGGCGGCATTGCCCGAAACGTCGCCTGTTACTCATTGTCCCTGTTTGTGCATCATTGCCGACGCGGCAGGCGTCGCATCGCCAAAACGATTTGGGTTCCGTGCACAACAATGGGATCGTTGTTTGAGCTGCAGCCACGAGGGGGCGCTGTCACCCCACCCACCCCGACCCCCACCCCGACTCCCCACCCACCCCACCCCCACCCCACCCCACCCCACCCCCACCCCACCCATACTCCCCCACCCCCACTCTCACCCCACCCCACCCCTACTGCCCTACTCCACCCCACCCCACCCATACTCCCCCCCACCCCCCACTCCCACCCCACCCCCACCCCACCCCTACTCCCCACCCCACCCCTACTCCCCACCCCACTCCCACCCCACCCCTACTCCCCACCCCCACTCCCCCCCACCCCACCCATACTCCCCTCCACCCCCCCACTCCCACCCCACCCCTACTCCCCACCCCCACCCCACCCCTACTCCCCCCCACCCCCACTTCCACCCCAAGTCCCCCCCACCCCATCCCCACCCTACCCCTACTCCCCCCCACCCCACTCCTACTCCGTCCCCATCCCCACCCCACCCCTACTCCCCCCCCACCCACTGCCCCCGCCCCTTAATGTGGGGGCGGGGGGGTCGATAAACCGGAAGCACGTGCGCGTGACAACGTCCGGGTGAGTGGGGGGAAGGTGCACGTGGGTTGTTGTCAAGCGGCGCAGCGAAGCACCGCGTCTCTTTCAGTCGTATAGCGTACAACGTCAACGTGTTAGCATCACGTCGATGTAGGAGTAAACTAGTGAAGGTGGAAGGGAAGCTTTATCCGCCATTTCAGTTCTCGCTTTATACTTTACGGCCATATTCAATCCGCCGCTGGATGAAGGCCTCTCGCTCCCCAGGGGCCGTGTCGGGCCACGAGGCTTTGTTTTGACCATACCTCACCACGCCGGTCACTGTGGCGGTTAGTGAAGTGAAAGAGCCTCGGGTATCACTCGATCCTGGAATTGAAACTCGGCAGCGCCGGTTCAGAGTACAGCTTCGCTAACCACTGCGCCCCCTATACCTAGTCAAACACTGGAGCTGTATTAATTTTGCCCAGGAAAAAACGCCGATTGGGACTCTGAAGTCAAATCTAGGGGTTTTTCCTCTCTCCAAGGATCTAATAATGGGTTTAAAAACAAAACATCGGATGTAACGTCACACTCCACGGGAGGCAAATTACTGGGTTCACTGACGATGGTGGTATCTTAATCAAGCGTTCAGCAGGAGACTTGGAGCAATACATGAAGTGAGGATACAATTGATCAGTATCTGGGCCATCAATCTTTGTTGGGTCTCAGTTTGCAATATTTCGATTTGAGTATTTTTTTTAGGACAGAACTACATTTGTACAGTACAACATTTCGGCTCGTTATTCCTTCCAGAACATGATGTCAATTTAAATCCGTCCTTGCATAAGCCGCATTCCAATTACTGCATCTGGAAACGCAACTTTCGCCTTCCTAAAATCGCGGTCAACTAAAAAAAAACTACACCCCTGCAAATACCGGCGGAGGCTGTTTGTTGGCAACGTTCAAGACGCGCCGAGGCCCATCTTGACGCAGCTGGTGCCGCACCGCCAGTCGTGGGCAAGTCCACTCAGCCCCTCCAAACCCGCCTCTCAACACCCACAACACACAACCACCCGCACGCCCACAGTTGGGGTCGGGGCCCGGGTCAATAACCACCCGCACGCCCACAGGTCGAGCCGGTCGAGCCGGCCAGGCCAGCGTGCGCGCCCTCATCCACCTGCGGCCGATGTCGTCCGGCGGCGCCCGTGACGGCAACGACGAGGACGGAGCGAGGAGGATGATGAGGAGGAGGAAGAAGAAGAAGACGGGTGGAAGGGACAAGAGGGTGGACACGGCTCGGGATGGAGGACACCGCTCGCTGGTGCTCGCCAGGGACCTGGTGGAGGCCAAGGACCCGGGCACGGGCTTCGCCCATTACCTCCTAGCACTCACCTTGGTGCCTGCGCTTCGGTCATCCGTGCAGGTGATGGTGATGATGATGGTGGTGATGATGATGATGGTGATGATGGTGATGATGATGATGATGGTGGTGATGATGGTGATGATGATGATGGTGATGATGATGGTGGTGGCGATGGTCATACTTATCAACTTTCGTTTTCTTCGTCATTGTCATCAAGGTCACCATCACCAATCGTCGGGATCAATCTAAAAAAATCATCACTAAGTTCGTAACCCAAGGGGTTAAGCCTCTACCCAAACCATCATCGTTGTCCATAATCAACGTTCGTTCCTGTGTGCAGGATCTAGCAGAAGGGTGGTTCAGTGGAATTGTCTCACGCTTGCCCCATCCCACTATTGAGCACTTGTTGTGAATATTCAACTGTACTATGTTGAGTCCTAATATGCCTTTTGGCGTCATCTGGTCGAGCACCAATTGGGTCGAGGCTCAAAAGAAAGCCGTCCCTTGGTGTGGACCAATCAGTTTCAAGGACAATGCATATATTATAGTATGTTTTTTGTTTGCATTTTGACTGCAGGTATTGTGGTTAATGCAGACATGAATCCTTGTAAAAAATGGTTTCAGTTTTGTTGTCAGAAAAAAGGGGAAAAACCCTATTACATTTTGGTACTGGCAAAGGAGGTCGAATGATGTTGAGTCCTGTTCCTTAAGTAGGTGCATTTTCAGAGCGCACACACCACACTCTAGGACGGTGGTAATTGTAATTAATCGCCATCGTTTCTTTTTTGACGATCATACACGCGTATATACGTTGCGGGTTGAAATAAGCCGCGGTCCAGAGGCATTTGTAATATCAGGAAGTCGGCAGACACCAGCAAATTCAGTCATGGACCGCATCCAGCCACCAGCAAGAACATTCACGGTTGAGCAACTCGAGTGCGCTTTCAGGGTGGCGAATAGAACGGGAGATGATGGTGATGGGAGAAGGATAAGTGATGGAAGCGCGGGGTGGCAGTGAACGATGAACTTACGTGGCAAATGGCGAGCGACGTGAACGTGAGCGGGGGGCCGATGTCTCGGAAAGCGGTTGATCAGGATGGTAGCCGACGATGCGACGGCGAGAGACGATGCGACGATGCGACGATGCGATACTGGCGTGTGATGCGGCGTGGTGGGGGGGTGCAGGCCGAGTTCCGGGATTGCGCCCGCGCGTGGACGAGCGAGCTGGAGGAGCTGGGTCGTGCGCGCGACGCCTTCGACTGCTACGAGCAAGCGCTGGCGCTCTACCCCGAGGACGAGCTCATCCTCAACGGCATGGGCGAGAGCCTCTTCAGGTGCCCGGGAAATTCGCTTAGAAAGAGCCGCAGCCGTACAGAGCGGTATATATCGGATGCGGCGTGCCGGGTGGGGGAATATATTTTCGCAGAGCCGGATAAAATTAAGCCCTGTCCTCACGTTGAGACTCGTACACAAACTCGTGATGATTTGGCTGCTATACATTTCCAAATGATGGGCCACTTTGTTGAGCCATCATTTGTGGCCCGGTCGCTTCTGAAAAAAAGCTACATATCTCAGTGGGCCTTACCTGGAAATGTTTTTGTATTATGGGTAATATATAAGCAAAACTCCATTCTGCGTCCACATGTAAATAAACATGTCTTAAGTCCACCATCCTATTTGGCTTTCCGGACCGATAATATCAAGCAAAATTTGTTAAACAATCAAACTCTGAACCTTCTGGGTCTCTCATCCACAAAGTCAGGCTTGCTAATCGAACCCAGCTGGATTACCCGACGTTATTGGCAAGAACACTCCATATAAACGACTTGGATCCCCCACCGCAACAGCCTTTCGCTTTAACAATCCCAACCCTGCTGACGGTTTCTTCGCGCATTAGTCGTTGCTGACGGGGGTCCGAGACCCCCGTCAGCTCTCACTCCGCTTGCAATAAAATGGATGTGCCGATCGATTACTTAGGCGGTCGAAGGCCGGGCCCGCAGCCTCTCACACCCGCTCCGTCATGGCGCAGACTGGGCTTCTGGGACGAGGCGGCCGCCTGCTTCCTGCGTGCGCTGCGATCCGCTCCGGGGTGGGCGCCGGCGAGGGAGAACTTCCGCCGCGCCGCCAGCTGGCTCCTCGAGCGCTGGCACTTCCCCATGCTCAACGACCGGCGGCGCAACGAGGCCTACCGCGACGCCCTGCGCCGCGCCGTCGCCAAGCGCGGGGGCACGGGCTGCTGCACGGTGCTTGACATCGGCGCGGGAACCGGCATTCTCAGGTTAGCCGGGGCGAGCGGCGAGTGATAGAGCGAGAGCAAGGGGGGAAGGTCTGTAGAAATGTGTAGCCGCAGTGACGAGATGTTAACTACCTTGTCTGGTATACAGGAGGTCGTGGGTTTGATCCCAACCCTGTCGCCTCTATATTTGGGGTTTGTATGTTCTCCCCGTGGTCGCGTGGATTTTTCTCGGGTCATCTGGTACATCGCTCCACATTTACAAACATGCGTTCAGAGTATTTGGCTGGTATAAATTTCCACGTGGTCAGACACTTCGTTGAGCGATCATTTGAGGCCAGGTTGCTTCTGAAAAAGAGCTAAATATCTCAGTGGGCCTTACCTGGTAAAATAAAAAAAATTGTTTAGTTTTAGTTTCCTGTTGTCGTCAGCCTGTACCGTCCCACTGCTGCGAAATGGACTCCCCGATTTTCTTCCAGTTCTGCCTTTCTTGAGTTGCTCCAGTCCACAACTCTTTGATTTCATCTCACCGACTCTTCCTCTGTCTTCCTCTGCTTCTCTTGCCTTCTCTCGGTATCCACTCTGAGGCGGGATTTCCGGATCCGGAGGCTATTACAATTGGGGTTTAATTGCCCACGGAATATTTGCCATGTCGCTGGTAGACCGCAGTAGGGGGTACGTGACAAGTAGCCACAGCCGTAGCTGGAAGTATACTGGATGTGGTGTGCCGGGTGCATATATATTTTTTACGTTACAGAGCCGGCCGGCTGAAATGAAGCTCTGATTACAGCCGTTTTTGCGTAATTTTGCTCTTAACCATTTGCAATTGCGACGAGAATATAAATTGCAACGTGTGACATTTCCCACAATTAATTCACTGCTGGATGAAGGCCTCCCGCCAAGCCGTCGTCACCTCTGACGGTCTCGCGGTGCAGCGATCCATTTAGCTCCAGCACCCACCCCACCTAGATGTCACCCGCTCCATCCTCCACGTCGCGCATCTTCTCGCATCCCGTCGCGGCGTTTTTGTTTTATCCCGTCGCACGGCGGATCGGCCCGTTGAGCGGCGGTCGCGCGCGCGACGGCGCCGCGGGCGCAGCATGTTTGCGCGGCAGGCCGGCGCCAGCCGCGTGTTCGCCTGCGAGGTGTCGCGCACCGCCGTGCAGCTGGCACGCGAGGTCCTCTCCGCCAACGGCTTCGCCGGCGACGTCTCCCTCCTGCACGCGGCGTCGAACGACCTCGCGGTGCCGCGCGACCTCCCCGAGAGGTGAGCGAGCGCGCTGCGCCCCGGCGCCTTCACTATCGGAATCCTTCGTTTATCCTGGAGAAATCCGATGGGCTATCAAGCTATCTTTCGCGGGTGTCCGGTAGGGGCGGGTCATGCGCACAGTTTGCATTCGCAGCCGAGCACCAGCCGGTTGGATACGCATGGTGCGAAGTAAGTTTGACGTGCATACATGTCGTGGCGGTCTAATGCAGGTGACGGTTGTTGTTGTGGTTTAAAGATTTATTTTTTTGCTGCTGTTTAATTCCCTCTGTTTTTTTTTTACCGATGTTCACCACGTGGTTGGGCCTGCTCATGAATGAACGGCGCCGCAGGGTGTCGTTGGTGGTGACGGAGACGATGGACGCGGCGCTGCTGGGGGAGGGAATCGTGGAGAGTCTGATCCACGCCTGGCGCCACCTCCTCCTGCCCCCGCCGCCCACGGTGAGCAGAGCGGCTCGCTGTGCGACTTGCGATGAGCAGAGTGGCCTGTGGCGAGCACGCGGTGTCGCCTCGCCGGGCGAGGCGACACCGCGTGCGTCTCACGTGAACCGGAGCGAGCTGAGCGCGTGACATTGTGTGCCCCAGGCGACGGTGAACGGCGCCGACGCTGGTGTTGGTGCCGGGTGCGGGCAAGTGATACCAGCAGGCGCCACGGTGTACGCCTGCGCCGTGGAGTGCCCTGAGATCCGGCGCTATCACCGGTGAGTGCCATGTGTGTGTGGTGTGTGTGGGGTATGTATGGAGGGAGCGGTAGTGCAACGGTTAGCGGGCGGCACTACGAACCCGGCGACCCGAGTTCGATTCCTGCTCACGGCCAACACCCAGTTACGATTATTTGAATCGGTTCTTTGCTTCCCCTAGGTCGACTCAGCCTCAAATGAGTACCTGGTGCGATGTTTGAACATCGACACCGGGGAGACAAAGGCGGCCGGGCGTGGATCTGGCCACCCATCCCCTCGTGTGCCGTTCCGGCCTTCTTAGGTGCTAGCTACTAGCGAGAACGGCACCTGCGCCAACAATCTGTTAAGGCTACACGGGGGATCTTTGTGGTGCGTACTGTGTGTCCGTCCGTGGTCCCGCGTGGTGCTGCAGGCTGTGCGTGCGGGAAGCCTGCGGGACTCGTCTGGACACAGGCGTCGCCTTCCGGAGCCTCGTCGGTCTGCCACCAAGAATTGGTAACCAGAAACTTTATCCGTACTGGAGGAATCCGATGAGCTATGAGGCTCTTTTCCACAGATGTCCAGCATCACCCGGTGGCGCCTCCTAATGCAACGCGTGAACAATAACGCAATGCCTTTCAATGCCATTTTCCCCCAATTTAATTACAACTGTGCCGTTGACAACCGGTCACTTAGTGTGCATTTGGAGCTCTCACATGGCAGTGCGAGTCCATGAGTTAGAGAATGGCACGTGGAAGGAGATGCTCGTTCCCCGCATTCCCTGCTGCAGAGAAATGTTCGCTGTGAGACGCACCAAGTGTCGTCATCAGTGCACCACGCTGCCGCCCGATTCACAGCGAGCGAGCCAGAAGTCTCCCTGGCGTTTTCCCCACTCACTTGGGGCCTGCCTTCGGTCCTACTCCTACCTCCCTTCCCCCCCCTCCTCCCTCCCACCCTCCTCCCTCCCACCCTCCTCCCTCCCACCCTCCTCCATCCTTCCCCCTCCTTCCCCCCTCCTACCTCCCTCCCCCCTCTCCTGGGTTATCTTCGGAAGTATTTACTTAGCAGTACCGAAGACAAGACATTGCATGAAATTAATCAATTTGCTTTCGTCTGTGTCTCCCAACCATTTGATGAATTGGGCTAGTTTTCAACAGGGAAATTCCAAATATCTATTTTGTGTTTAGTTTGTAGTCCTTCCCCTGCACCTCCGATTGGCACGGATGGCTACGTACGATGTGAAAGAAGTTCAACATACACACCTTTAAGTTTTAATTACGTAGGATAATCGTTATGGACGGACGGACAAACATATGCAGGGAAAGATGGACAGAGCTAATGTATGGACGCTTCAACCTGAGCTGGAGCGTTAACAAAAACCCATCGCCTTCTATTCAGGGCGGGACACGCCTACCAACAACGACGAGGATGACGATGAGGAGGGAGAGGAGGGGAAGGACGCGGACAACGAGGGCAGCTGCCGGGAGCCCTACACCACCGAGCGCATGAGTCGCGTTCCCGGCGGCTACACCTTACTCTGCGATTCCTTCCCCGTCCTCGCCGTGGACTTCAACAACCCCCAGGTTTGCCCCTCTCTGACCGAGGCATCGTCACCGTCGCTCGAGCGGGCGAGCGTCGGCTTTGACGGCCGCTGCAGCCCGTCGCTCGCAATCCCCGCGGTCGAGACGTTCCCCGTGTTTTCCCGCAGGAGCTGGAGGGGCTGTTCTCGCGAGCGCCGGAGCGGCGGGGAGCGCGCGTGACGTGCGGCGGCACCCTGGATGCGATTGTCGCCTGGTTCCGGCTGCGTCTGGACGAGGAGTCGTCGCTGAGCACGGCGCCGGGCGAGGACTCTTGCTGGGAGCAGGCGGTGTACCCGGTGACGCCCGTGCGTGGCTGGAACGGTCAGGACGCTAGTCGCACACTCGCACGCGCGCGTGTACGCACGGGGCAAATTGCGCGCGTGACCTCGTGGTCAGCGAGGGTCGACGGCGTAGCAGAGAAGCCTCGATGGATTTTGCGACATTGCCATTTGTCCACCACACGTGGTGATCGACCTTTCAAGCGCTACACAGGCTCAAAATCGAATTGGCTTCTAAAATCGATTCGGTGATGTACGTGGATTGTTACTTGCATATATATATAGTTTGACGCATATTGACTCTACTGTTGCTGCCGCTGTCAGGCTACACAGTGAGGGAGGGAGACACGTTGGAGATCGAGGCCGTGTGTCGGGACGGGCACCTCGGCCTCTCCTGCGTCTCCGTGACCCCGGCGTGGGCAGCGCCGGACGCGGCGTCCCGTCGTGCCGCAGCCCGGCCGGCGCCCGGCTCAACGCCGCAACTCGACGACGCGTCGACGGCCGCGGAGGTCGCGACCCCCGAAGGGGACGGCGAGGCCTGGCTCTGCTCCGCCATCGCGAGCCTGGGCACGGCAAGCGGGTGGGCGCCGGGCGTCGAGACGTGCGCGCTGGAGCCCTGGGAGGTGGCGCGTCTCAACGACGTCGAGCACTGGGAGGCGTTTTCCCGCGCCGCGCGGGACGCCCCGGGGAGGAGGAGCGGTGGAGCGGGGCCGCTGCGAGTGCTCGACCTCTCCGCGGGCCTCTCCGTGCTGCCACTCGTGGTGGCGCGCGCGTGCGGCGGCGGCGGCGGCGCTGACGGCGTCGGTGCCGCGATTGTCTGCAGCTCCGCCGAGGACCCACGGAGACGGCGGGCGCTCCGTGCGTTGGCCGCCGCTAACGGCGTCGCGGCCCAGCTGAGGTTTCTGGACGACGGCGGCGGCGGCGTCGGCTCGGCTCGCGAGAAAGAAAGAGGCGGCGGTGTGCGCAGCGAGCCGGGTTGCGGGACTGCAAGCGGGGCAGCCCGGCCCCCGCCAGACGACGCGACGGAAGACGAGACGATGGGAGAGCAGCGGCAGGAAGTGGTGGTGGTGGAGAGTGAGGAGGACGGCACGGAGGACGGCTCGTGGGACGTGATTGTCCTGGAGGCCGTGGAGCCGACCGGCCTGCTCCGCCAGGGCCTCGTGGAGAAAGCCGCGCTCGCACGGTCAGCGATCGCGGTCGAGTGTCGCGATGCTGCGTGCGTCGCATTCCCAGCAGGGCGTGTAACGATTTGTGCATCACCACGGTCGCGGAGATTCGACGACCTGTTACGATTTTTGGGTCACGATTTGACACGGGAATTCATTCTAATTTTGACTCATTTATCCTGTTATACGTCTCAGACGTATGTTCTGTCGGGTGTGTGTTGTGCATTCTGTGCTGACCTAAAGGGACAAGAATTTGCACTGCTCGATGAAGGCCTCTCCATGCCTTGTTGGTCATGGCAGTTTTTTTTTGCATACTTCACCGCGCCGGTCAGTGTGGGTTGGTATTGAGAGCAAAGACCCAGGGACTGGTTCAGATATCGCTCGCCACTCACGTTATCTGTCGCCGGGAATCTCGCTCAGCAGGTCACCGGGTTCGCAGCACATTCCGCTACCCACCGCGACACCACACCATCCCTATTCGCAAAAATTTTTTTTTTTTTTAATAAACAACGCGCGTAAACATTATTAATGAGTTTGTAAACGCTATCCACTCGACGCAAGGGATTGAACGGATCGTAGATTTCGCGTAGGGATGCGCCCCGAGTCGACGACCGCCTGCCGTTTGCAGCTCCCTGCTGCGCCCGGGCGGCACTGTGCTCCCGCTGGGCGCGACGCTCGTGGGGCAGCTGCTTGAGTCGGACGCCCTGCTCAGCGACAGCGTCGCGCTGGGCTCCGGGCCCACGCTCGGTCTGCGCATCGCCCCCTTCCTCAACCTCTTCTCGGTGAGCACGGAGGGCAACGGGGTGGCGGCGGAGCGACGCGTCGAAAAAGCCATCACGAGCGCCCGGGAGCCAACGAGTCGACTTTGGATAGTCCAGGGTGACGCTAAATGTGTAATTGGCATGTCGTCTGTTTTTTGCTTATTTAATCGCTTTAATTGCCGACAAGTGTGCGGTCACGTGGGCACCGAGGCACCGTCCCCTCGACGAATGAGGAGCAGCTAATTAACCGGCATGCATGGCAAGATATTTTATTTATCGTGACTAAGTGCATTAGAACTGGGGGACAGGATTTTGTCAGGTCGAAAATATTCTCCTTTCGTACCTAATTCGTGTGGCTAAAGGTGCTTGCAGCTTGGATTTTTCTCCAGGTCTTCCGGTTTTTCCCTCCACATTGAGAATCAACGTGCGTTTTGGGGTATTCGGCTGCTATAAATTTCCACGCGATAAGCCACTTCGTTGAGTTATCATTTGTGGCCAGGTCGCTTCTGAAAAAAAGTCGATGTAGCTCGGTTGGCCTTACTTGGTAAAATAAAAAAATATATAGTTTGATATACAAGGTGCTTCAAAAATGTTGAAACACGTCTGAGAATTTGCAACAACACCAAAAGAAATGTCTCCGGGCTCTGGAGACACACCTGGAGAAGATTCCAGGCCACGTGTTGACAACGATGGCGAACAAGTGGGAGGCTCTTTGAAGCTATTAACGTTACATTTGTTATCATGTTACGGCGTATTATCCGTTCTTTTTCCATTCAAAACGATAGCCCCATGTGAAAGTGTTTCATAAAATGTTGATGCACCCTGCATTGTTTGCAGGGACTCTTGGAAGTGTTCGGCCGCGTGTGGGGGCTGCGGCTCGCGTGAAAGTCCCGGCCCGTGGAGCCGTGGTTCCCCTTCCCATGGTCTTGACGTCGTCCACCGTGCTCGCCCGCATCTCGCAGGTGCCCACGCAGGTGAACCTCGACCTCTGCACTCTGCCGGGCCGCCGGCTGAGCCGTCCGTTCGAGGTGTTCACCCTCGACCTGATGGCGGCGGGGAGCGAGGCCGCCGCTCAGCACTGCGTCACGGTGAGCGTGGACGGGGGAGGAGATGGAGGGGAGGGCTGACACCACTCGCCTCTTCAAGTTCATGCCATCGGACAGAGACGGTCACCGCATCGCGCGCTTTCAGATGCGCTTCTGCGGCCGTCTGAAACACTCTTCCTTGCGATATTAGGAAGCCACTGGAGTTATGCATTTTGAAATAATCTTGATTGAAAACTAATTTCTCTAGAACTGCTTTTTATTTGTTGTCCTTCCCCCCCCCCGCACCTGCGATTAGCGCGGTTGGCGACATACGGTGCGAAAAAAGTTCAACATACATACATACATGCGTGCAAGTGAGCACGGGTAATACGCAACCTGGATCATCCACCCGTGTATGTGCATGTTGAACTTCTTTCGCACCGTACATAGCCAACCGTCCTAATCAGCGGTGCTGTGAGACTCTCGACTACCTTTCACAAAGCGAATTCCGCGTAAAGCAGCGCGATCGCCGTTCTGCCGTTCACCCCCCGCCCCCGCCCCCCCCCGCCCCCCGCCCCCCCCCGCCGTCTGGCCTCGTGTGCGCAGGCGATCGCGGAGGAGCCCGGCCGCGTCACGGCCGTCGCTCTGTGGGTCGAGCTGCGGCTGGGCGACGGCGCCGCCGCGCTGTCGACGCTGCGCGCTCACTCGCACGTCAAGCAAGCGGCCGTGGCGCTCGAGGAGGCGCTGAGCGTGAGTGCGGGGAGCCGCGTGGAGGTGCGAGCGCACAGCCACGAGGGGGACGTGTCGCTCGCGTGCGGCGTCGCCCCCGCCGCGGCAACCACGACAGCGGCCCTCCCCTAGGGGGGGGGGCCTCCACGCCGATCGGGCGTTACCGCCGCAGCTGTTGCCGCTTGCACTTGATCAGTGCGGCGAAAGGTGCTTGCGGCGGTGGGTTAGCACGGTTGACTATGCGTGTTGCGAAAGAAGTTCAACGTACGGACACGGCCGCTGCCGCCACGATTGTGCCCGCCACAGCCATGCCCACGCCAAGACGTTGCGGGGGCTAGAAGAACAGACGAAATGGAAATGAGTAGTGAAAAGTCAAATGGATGAATGTTCGCGTCGCACGGCTTGCCATACGTTGGCACTCGGCCGCGTGATGGATACATCAATCGAATTTCGATTCCGTGTTCTTCACGCTTGGGATATGGAAGGCAGCAAAATGGGGCAAAGGAAATAAACTAATATCAACTCCAGAAATGAGGGAGGTGCGGTACGAGACGAACGCACGGAGCGAGTGTAGAGACGACACGGGCATTGAGCGATGGACGTCTACGGAGATTCAAAGCATTCAGCGTCCCGACTCCTCACTCGGATTCGTCAAGTTTGTACAGTTATTTGCCAAATTAGCATAGAATTAACGATTCGTTTAATTCATTATTTCCCTGTACTTCTATACTCCGATGTCTATGCCCCCCGTCTTAACCAGCCTAAACTATTTTTTTTATTTTACAAGGTCAGGCCCACTGAGCTGTATAGCTCTTTTTTCAGAAGCGACCGGGGCCACAAACGATAGGTCAACGAAGTGGCTTTTCGTGTGGACATTTATAGCAGCGAATTACTCTAAACGCGTTTCTAAATGTGGCGGGAAAAACCGGAGGACGTGGAGAGAAATCCACGTGACCACAGGAAGAGAGACACGCAAACTCCAAATATACAGCAGGCGTCAGGGTCTGGATCGAACCCACGACTTCCTTTATATCAGGCGACGTAGGTTACATCCTGCCACCGTGGCGCCCTGCAATGACCAACGTGGTGACGTATTTTCAAATAGCTCCCACAATGCACACAGCACGGGGAGGCCCTCGTCAAGCAGTGGATGGACAAAAGGGACAGCGCGCGTACGTAATTGGCGTCGAATGATTTGTGTGCATCGTGTGGAAGCGGTGTTCCACGTGCAGGATCGGATGCGTGTTCATCGAGTGTAAGAAATCGTTAACCCAGCCAGATTCGCGTACGCGACTCCCTTTGAGTAAGCGACGAGACAAAACAAAACCGAGAGGGGGGAAATATCTCCGCCTATATATATTTTATTTACAATGTCAGAACGATTATTTTCCAACCGTTTAACAAAATTGTATTAAAATCCTGCGCGTCAATGCGTTACGTAACCTTTAAACCCAAACGACGAGTTCATGCCACCGACCTCTTGCCGTTGGGGAAAAATAAATAAAATCACCGCCAACTCTCACGCTCGTGCAGTTTCATCACGAACCACACACAACAGCTCCCAAGTTTTAACAGGAGCACCAGGTTGATCTACCAATGGGCATTGGAAAGCTCTCCACTCGTGCAAAAAAAATTTGGTTCAGCAATCAACACTCTCAAGTTGCGAGGACACGAGAGTGTGTGTGACGTGAAAAACATTCGTTCCTGGAACTCGTTTGTGCAGCAGAGAATTACATACGATCAGGAAACGCCCCCCAAAAGTTGCCGGAGTAGAACTGCTCGCTTCTAATAGGCCTCTCGTCGACAATAGGAACACGCCCCGTACGGAGTGGTCGTCCGTTACTCCGCAGGAGCGCGAGAGGCATGGTGACGGCTTGGGAAGGCCTTCATCTAGCAGTGGATTGATAGTAGTTGCGGATGACGATAAAGAATGTCCGTCGCATGGCAACTGAAGAGATGGCCGAGGGTGTCTTGCTTGGAAAGGCGTAGGTAAATGCTTGACACCCATTAATTATACATTTAATCCCTTGGGACCAGGGTAGGCCACCTTAAGTTAGCAACCAAATTAAAATAATTATCTTTGGGGGGGGTCATGAGCACGCAGCACTGTGAACTGAGCACAGCGAACATCGGTGGCTGTGGACAGCTAAGCCCACGTCACCAACCTGCGCGGACCAGCGCGGCCAAGTACACTTGCGCAACTCCCGTGAATGACTCGGCATGCGGAGGAAGCCTTCGCCCAGCAGTGGATAAACAATGGGCTGCAATATTATTATTGTTAGACATTTGTCACGTGAGTAATGGCAACTCGGCTAACACTAATGCTGCTGGTCAACGTCAAGTGCTCGGCATTCCCCGCTACATATTTAGAGCGATAAACATGGCTAAGACATCGGCAGGTGAGGTACTCCACGTAGTATAACGGCACGGTTTTTCCACCCCATCCCCGACTCGCAAAAGACCACCTGTCCTGGTTATGCTGCACATCGACGTTGGCTGGCGGGCACATTGGCGGTCGACGTGAACGGCGCTGAAGCCGCGGTGAGACCGTGCCGCCTGGAAACCGTCGGCGGTGGCACGCGCCGGGGTTTTGCAGGAACCTTCGTCGCGGCAGGCGGACCGCCGCACGGCGGGGGGGGAGCAAAGGCAACGAGGCGTTATCCCGAGAGGCGCGCAGAGTAACCCGCGAAGCGTTCGTTCGGAAGCACAGGTGGGGCGCCACGTGCGTCCGGCAGCCGCAAGTGTGCGTCGAGCACGGACGTGGAAGCGCGGGGAGCACGAGCGGGCCGCCCTCCGCACCCGGTACACCGCACCCACCGTACACCTCTCACGATGGCCGTGGCTCATAGTAACGTGTCGCTGGCTCCAGTCTAGCGATCCGTAACATTGTCATTGAGAAAGGAAGCCCTGCCTCTTGTCGCGTTACACTCCCTTCCACCGTTGGTCCTCACAGTTAAGCCGCGAATCCACCTTAGTGCGGTGAGCGAATTTGGTAAAGTGCAGTTTTTGGCTCGCGGTCGTCGATCTCCATCCCAGACGCAGGCATGCGCAGATGCGCACTTTCGCCAAAACCCGCGAAATCCGATCGCGGGACACGCCGGGTTAGACGACTGGGTCTCGTTCATCGGTGACGCGAGTTTCTATCGGCGTCACCTCCACGATGGCGGCACCGGCTTCCGCATCGTGCGGCGGTGCCGGCGGCGCCGGCGGCGTCGAAGCCACGCCGCCCTCCTGCGCGCAACCGTCGCCGTTGGGCATCGTCGCCGTTGGCGTGGTCACCGTCTGCCCGAAGCCCTGGTAGTGCCCGGACGGTGACGGGGAGGGCGGCCCCCCCACCGCCGCTCCGGCCCTCTCCTCCGGGGTGCGACCGGACGACGAGCTGCCGCCCAGCAGGCTGGCGCGTTCGTCCGCACCCCCGGCGTCGCCGCCGCCTCCGCCGCCCGCACGCCGCTTGGGGCGACCCAGCACGGTGGCGCCTGCGGGGGGAATGGGTGGCGGTGAACGTGAAATTGTCGAGAGTTGCGGGGCGAAGCGATGGCGCTTCTGCGTTTGTGATGGCACATGCGGCAGGTCGGAGACTATGCAGAGAGCCCATGGGAGGGGACTCAATGTAAGGAGGCTTTTTGTTACGACTCTGATCAACGCCATCGCTGCCGACGTCACCACGACCGACACCACGACCATCACCACCACCAGCATCGCCACCAGCATCACCACCAGCATAACTGTTGTTATCACCGTCAACACCATTACGACCATAATCACCACTACCACAATCCAACACATCACTATCGCCACTGCCATCAATAACACATCAACACTTCCACCATGCAACATTACTGTTGCCGAAACCAGCGCAGCGCTGGCAACGCCACCAGTACCACTGGCAACACCACCTTCCACCGACAACCATCGCCACATCGCCCATCGCCACCACCGCCCGTGCTCACCGACGTTGCGGACTTGCTCGAGGACGTCGGCGCGCACGTCCGATACGTCCCACATGGCGAGGAACGAGTCGAGGCAGGACACCTCCCGCTCGGCCACCAGCACGAACGCCTTGTACGAGAAGCTGTAGTGGTGCGCCAGCGCCGCCAGCAGCATCTCGATGCAGATCGCAAAGTCCTGCGGGTAGATCGGACGCGCGTGTGTAGCCGCGAACACGCGCAAAAAGGCAAAGATCCCACCCCCTCCCGTGTAGCCTGCGTGGGACGTTGGGGCAAGTGCAGTCGGCGAGAGCCTACAAAGGTCGACACGGCTGGCCGCCACGCCCTGCTACTTTTGCCTCCCCTCAGTATCGATGTTTACATATCACACCGGGTACTCATTTAAGGCTATGTCAACCTAGGAGAGGCCTAGTACCGGTCCATATATTCACCACCGATGTTGGTCGTGAGCAGGAATTGAACTCGGACCGCCGAGTTCGTGGCGCAGTGTGCTAACCACTGCGCCGCCGCTCCATCCCCATACACACCCGTGCGTGAAATTGCTACAGGGCTGGGTAATGATCCGCCAGCCTCGCAAATTCAATACTGGTGGTTCGGGATCGCGGTTAATGTCCGACACCTAGAGAGTTGCGACGTTGCCGTGAGCAGAGCACGTGTTGGTTGCCCGACGCCGCCCACGGGTTTGCCGCCTGCATCTGGTCTGTCACGTGCTCTGCTCGTTTTTGACCTCGCGACTTCCTCGCCGCGTCTCGCTTCGACAAGTTTTACCCTGCGGGCAGCGGTGGCCAACCGGCGTCTCTCGAGCCGCACGTGGCTCTTTAATCCACCACCTGCGGCTCTACCGAAGGGGCATAACGTACAACGCGCTATCACAGGACGAAAGAATAATGAATGTCTCCTGTTCCGTGCAGAAAACTGTCATCATATATGTACACACGCTTACATACACACTTGGCTCTTTGCAGAACTCAGGGGTATTTTTTGCCTCTTGGTCTGTTACAGGTTGGCCACCCCTGCTCTCAGGGCTGTTTGTGGATGCTCGAGCTGGTGGATGGTGTTGAAGGGGCCTAAGACTTGTCTCCCCTAGCCAACCCGCCACCTACAACCACCATACTGACAGCCCTGGGGTCTTTTTCACTCGAGCGGTGGTAAAAGAGTGTTGTGTGTTTTTTTTTATCTGTTGGTTTTACTGCCGCGGAAAACTTCACACGGTCACGTCGTCATCCTGACCTGGAGCCCGGTGGCTAAAGCCTCCACGCTGTTCCAGCCCAGAGTGCCCGAAATCACCTGCAGCTTCACCAGGGCTGCGATCAGCACCGCTTGCCTGCACGTATACACACACACACACATGATATCATCGTCATCTTGCGATCCTGGGATGTTGGTATTAATTAGTCGTCCAAAAGTTCCACAAAGTACGTCTATGTATGTTGAACGTCTTTCGCACCATACGTAGCCAACCGTGCTAATCGGAGGCGCGGGGGTAGGACAGGAAACTAAACGCAAAAAGCAGTTCTTAAGAAATTAGTTTTCAATCGAGATTTAAAAGTGCATAGCTCCAGTGGCTTCCTAAAATCGTACAAGGTGGAGCCGGGCAAAGGTTACACGCTTTCGCCAGCGCTGCGTGCGAGCGCACACCGCGCCGCCGCTTCTCTGCTCGTGGGCGAGCGTTTGTGCAGAGTGACGAAGCGGAACGAACAATGAAAAAACGAAATCGAAAATCTCGCAAGACTCTAGCTCGCGAAGCGAGTGTGCTCGGATACGCCAGGCCATGCCTGTGGAGTGACCCGCGGGACAGCGGAGCTCTCTCCGGCCCCGCACCTTCGTGCGCGACGCTCACCAGAAAGACACGAACACGACGGTCTTCACGCACAGGAACTTCCCCACTGGCTGGATCGGTTGCAGCTCCTCCCGCAGGGTGCGGTAGAAGAGGATGAGGCAGTACATGGCAAACTGTGGAGCCGTGCGCACAAAGACAAAGACTGTTAGCGAGCGCCTATGAAGGCCCGAGGTGGGTGGCCAGCACAACGAACTGCCATCTTTGTCTCCCAAGTGCTGATATTTACACACCGCACCAGGTACTCATTTATGGCCGAGTCAACTTAGGGGAGGCCCAGGACCGGTTCAGATATTCATCACTGATGTTGGTTGTGAGCGGGATTCGAACACGTATAGGCGGGTTCGTAGCTAAGTGCGCTAATTGCTACACTGCCACTCCCCACATACACACATGCACACGCACACACAATTAAATTCAGAAAAAACAACTGCACGTACATGCGCACGTGCGTACAACTGAAGAAGCACACACCCCCGCCGCGTAAAGAGCGATCAGACGACGAGCTCGGCGCCCTGCGCGTCTCCCATCACTCGCGCTGTCCGCGGGACTCACGATCTGGGAGATGTTGTTGATGATGACGAGGTAACTCCACACGTTGTGGAAGCTGAAGTTGCCCTCTCCGTACACCTTCAGCAGCTCGGAGATTCTAGAGTGAGGCGAGAAGACAAAACCCGCACGCAAGTAAAAACAAGGGCACCCAAACTCAACTTCCACACTCGCTCAAAATGCTCTCTTTAAGAATCATCCCATGGAGATTGTGGTTCCCGACCACTCGTAAGATTCATCGTAACTTTACGAAGCGCAATGTCGCGACCCGAGTTAGGTTAAGCCGATCTTACGACCCGGCTACGATGCCCGTCTGGCACCAGTTCATTTACTGCGATGGCCACTGTGGGCACCAGAGGGCCCCCGTGTGTGAAGCTTACAAGGCCACGACGGTGGTGAGCGGTCTGATGACCGTGTACTGCAGCACGCCCAGCTTACAGCGGAACAGCATCACCCTGCACGGGGAAGGGGCAGTGAGAGATAGGGCAAAGGGGCAGAAGTCAAACTCTTGCAGCGGTGGATCGACAAGCAGGCTGTACGTGTACACATCGGCATTGTCGTTGTTACACCCTCACGACTGGTGACGAGCCCACATGGCTTCAACGTCATCTCATCGCTTAATATTTACACGAGGCCTCCCGCGCAGTAAATTTTGAGCGACCCCGCGGCAGGGGACTCCCGGGTGGCACCTGTCCCGGAGAGGCGCGAGGTGAACGTGGCACCGCACCAGCAAGTGGCCGTTGATCTTCCAGTAGGGGGGCGATGTTGCTTTGTGGCTTTCGGAATTAAGTCAATTGCGATCGATGTATCAAACTTGGAACCCGCAACGCGGGTACACCGCAAGCCTCCAGCAGAGGGGGGCATTTAAATGGCCGCGCACCTCCGATTAGCGCGGTTGGATACGTACGGCGCTAAATAAGTTCCACGTACGTACGCACGTAAATGTCCTGTCAGCAAGCGAGCGAAAGAGCGAACGAACGAGCACGGGCGGGCGATCGTCCAATCGCTCGCCCGAGGGGGGGGCGACTCACTTGCCCATGGGTGACTCACTGATCCATGGGTGACTCACTTGCCCATGGGTGACTCACTGATCCATGGGTGACTCACTCTCCCGAGGTGGGTGACTCACTCTCCCGAGGTGGGTGACTCACTCGCCCATGGGGGGACACTAACTCACCCATGGGCGACTCACTTGCCCATGGGTGACTCACCCATGGGTGACTCACTCGCCCGAAGGGGGTGACTCACTCGCCCGAAGGGGGTGACTCACTCGCCCGAGGGGGTGGGGGGGGGGGGGGCACTCACTCGCCCATGGGCCACGCTGGGAAGCAGCAGAGTGGCGGCCAGTGGCGCACGGGCTCCTTGGCAGCGAGCGTGCGCGCCAGGTCGGGCTGGCTGCCCGAGAGGTAGTTGAGCAGGAAGACCATGAAGTTGTAGATGACGTAGGCCTCGTAGCACTCGCGGCACGTGTTCAGGTAGATGGCGATGGGAGGGAACTTGAGCGCGAACCACTGCGTCGCACCGCACACGCAGGCCCACGTGCGCACAAACGTCAAGATCCTCCCCCCGTGCAGCCTACGCAGGCTGTTGGGGCGAGTGCTGTTAGCGAGCGCCTATGAAGGCCGCAACCAGGGGGTTGGGTGGCCGGCGCCACGCCCCAGAACAAAGACAAAGATCCCCCGTAAAGCCTTTAACGGACTGTTCGCGCAAGTGCTGTACATGTGTCTCACTCACGCTGTCTAAGCTGTAGATAGGAACCATCCACAGGATCCTGAATGGAGAGAGGAAACACGAGTAACACAATTAGGCGCAATCACGGGTGTAATGAGCCATCAATTAATCGATCAGGATACACGCATCGCATTGTGTGCATAAGAATGTATTATTTATGGGTTGTGCAAATAGTGCGCACATCTTACATTTAGACTATTGGATCGAACCAGACGGAACTTATCAGATAATGCAAATGAGAAGGTATGATCAAGACAAAGAAATAATCAAATTGTGAATAGAATCATGGCCCTATTCATTGTAACTCATCAAACGGCGTACGCACGAAAACCCCACAATTACACCCCAACTCGTGTGCTGGCCTTCATAGCCAGTCTGTGAAAACTTCACGGGAGATTTGTCTTTGTACACGAGCGACCATGTGAGCGTGTACGAGTGAGCGCACTTGTATGTGAGTGGGCACGCATGTGCGAGCGAGTGTGCATGCGTGTGAGCGAGCATGAGTGAGCGAGCGTGCCTGATGATGGGCTTCTGCAGCTCGGGCTGCGTGTAGTGCACCAGGTGCTGCAGGATCCCCCAGAGCGAGATGGGGATCGTGAGGAAGACGAAGATCCCCGCGATGAACCACGCCTGAGTTTGCGCTTTGATCTGCGGATATGCACACCAATTAGTCTGCAAAGTTAAACGCACGCAATTTCAAGTTCGTTCAAATCCTCTACTTTTTTATTTAATTTGCCCAACCTTAGCTCTGTTCTGCAACTGGTGTTACATTACGAGACAAAGAATCCAATTGGACCTCTCAAAGAGCAACGCAATTCCCCCATGTTAGAGAACGGCCTATGGAAGTGGATATGACAGAACTACATCAGAGATTCCTTGGAAGTATCCTCTGGCCTACACAGGGGCAGCATTTTCCCAAAAACAAAATTCATTGAACCTATAACCTGAATGTAAAAATGTTATCTCATTTGTATATACGGTAGAACAAAAAAATCCACACTCGCAATAACCCACGAATTATAAAATATGCGTGGCCCCCAAGGTTCGTGGTAGTAATCCCCTAATCCATTAAAGTAGAGACGTTGAAATCTGTTTTACCACGGAATTTTTGTACCCCTTTTAGGAGCAGCTGATTCGTCCTGTAATCTGCCGTGCACCACAATGGCACGAAATATTTTCCCGCGGATTACTTTTTTTTTTTTGCCACGTGCCACCAAGTAAAGGGTGCCACAGGCAGGTGCCCCCCACGTCACCACATTTTTCGGATTTCTGCTCGAATGTCCGTCAATCGTAACCAGGGCTTCAGCCAGGTCACGCGCACGCAGACTCACCTCCGCACGCTGCAGCTCCCACACGCACAGCGGCAGTGCCACTAGCAGCAGCATCACGTACATGGTGACCACCAGCGGACGGATCCAGCGCCGCCAGTTGGCGCACGTGCACACCATCGTGGCGAAAGGCGGGCGGGCGGGCGGGCAGCAATGATCACCTCCACAGCTCGGGAGTAGAGGCGGCCGCCTTCATTAAATGTGACCGTCGCTTAGTCGGCAAATCCCTGAGGTCGGTCGAGGCGAGCAGAATTTACCGTCACCTGTAGAAAATGTCAGAACGCGCACGAGTGGGATGCTGCCGTGGCATAACGGTTCGCACACTGGACATGTAATCAGAGGTCGCTGGTTAAATTCGATCGTGCGGCAACGGCAGTTGAAACATTTGACGGGTTTTTTTTCCTGCCCCCATCCTCACCTGTCCACTCGAGAGGTATAAATGGACACTCCACACAACAGGACCAATATTTTACAACGCAATCGTGCAAGGTTCTAGTTAGCCTTTACTTTTACCACCCATTCCTGTGTTTATGGACATCACGCGTCAGTTGTTAAATAAGATGTTCACTCACCTAGCCAGGTGCTCAATTTGTGCTCATTATTTGTACTTTATTTGTACCTTATTTTTACCTTATTTTAGAAAACGACTACCACGAGTGGCTGAAAATCAAGCATGATAATGACTGCAACGACCCTACCAGAGACCGAAGCATGGTTGGCTGTGATGAGACGAAACTAACAAGTCTGTACGAAGACGCAGACTGAGATAGGTTAGCACATTATAAGGTCCTGCAGCGCACCAAGAGAGACCAACAATGGTAATTGGCTGTACATTATTAAAAAGATTGATGGAGTTCACCGATTGGATTAGCTGACTTTTTGGGGAGTAGAAATTACTGGGCACCCCCTATACCGACATTTAATAACTAAAGAGCGGAATAGATCACTGCTATAGCCAACTAGATTTAAGATAATGGCTGTAATAAAATTTCTGACTAAATTAACGCTGCCAAACTTCTAATTGGAGACCCACGGATTCAGTAGTGGCCACTTTTAAGGTGGAGGATGGCTTTCGTGTGACGAGGCATCACATGCCAACTCGTGACGCTGATGTTAACAGTCCAGTGGCAGCTACTCCCAACCATGTGACTGCAGAGGCTTGCGGAGTTTGCAGGCTTGCGTAACTTCGGATAAGAGCTACGCTTTATAGGTTGACCTCGCCGGAGGTCAACCCTCGTGAGAGAGGGCCCTTGTAACCAAGGAGTGGATTATAGAGGGTGTGTGCCTGTCAAGTCATGAGTGTTTGACACTTTATACGAGCGTCCTTGCTACTGTTAGGCACACGCCAAGATCTCCCTTGATGTTTTTTTTTATTTTCAATGGGCTCTCACCTGATTTTAAATACTCTCAATGTGCCCACATTCTAAGTGTATAAAATAGCATGTTCCTTTAGAGACGGAGACTATTACAAACATTCCCTGTCGGTGATGAAATGTCTTTTTTGCAATACTGTGTCGGGAGTGGTGCGTGCACAAGCGCAAAGAACAAACAATATCAACAGAATCATTTATGACACTACCCTAAGGAATAAAAAAAAATATATAGTGTATGACGCTTTCTTTGCGTAGCAGATGCAAAGGCCAGAGAGACTGAGTGATTCGTGGTTTTAGACTGCACTAGACACAACGGTGGCAAATTATATGAAAAAATATATTTTAATTTTACCAGGTAAGGCCCACTGAGCTATATAGCTCTTTTTCAGAAGCGATCTGGCAACAAATGATAGCTCAACGACGTGGCTTATCATGTGGAAATTTACAGCAGCAAAATAGTCTTAACGCGTGTTTCTGAATGTGGAGAAAAAAACCGGAGGACCCGGAGATAAATCCACGCGACCACGGGGAGAGAAACACGCAAACCCCAAATATACAGCAGCAGGCATTAGGGTTGGGATCGAACCCACGCCCTCCTGTACACCAGGCGAGGTAGTTAACATCTCAGCCATCGTGCCGCCCATATCTCAACCGATGTATGAAACCAGTCCTGCCCTCCCCACCTACCTTTACCAACCCGCGCTGACTGACCGGCGTGGTGAAGTATAGATTCATGTTAAGTTCCAGTAAACGTGCAACGTTAGGCCAACGATGGTATGTGGTTGGAGACGTTGGCACAACGTTGGCTAGACATTCCATGTGTACAGGGTTGATGTTACGGGTGATATTATTTATTGGATATTCGTTTTCCATGGGAGTTGTTTGGCCATACTTCACCGCAATGATAAATAGCTCTTAACCACCCCACCCCTACTACCACTTACCTACCATTATATAATCCCCACCACTGCCCCATGCATGCCAAGACTCACGTTTTTTCACTATGTTGAGTGTCTCACCTGTACCCGATTACAGGTACATCGTGAATTCACAATAGCTTCGCATCAGTGGTGACGACATGCAGAGTACTGCAAATTCTTACACGGATATCCTGTTCATCAAAATAATGAATCACTGCAATCAAGAGCGTGATTGATGCCTGTAATCAATGTACGGCCGTGTGTGCGAGAGACTGCGAATCGGCTGTGGCCAACGTCCTGCACCCAATCGATTGTACTGCCTGTACAAGCCCGTCCGTCACACCTCGGTTAAGCCAGGCAGCGTTGAGCCTGGACAGTGCTTGGATTGTGGGGTGACCACCATGCCATCATTAAAGAGCTGCTGCAGTCGAACGCAAGAGGAAGCCGAATGCTGGGCAGCAGAGGGCAGTGCGACACGTTCCATTGGACTGTTCCGTGCTGCCACGGCAAGTTTGAAAACTAATTTATTTTAGGATTGTCGTGTCTGGTGTTTGTCTGTCTCTCCCACCCCACCGCGCGCCGCCTGTTAGCACGCTTGGCGACGTACGGTGCTAAAGAAGTTTCAACGCACACCGCAAACATTCACCAAGACGCACTGACCAGCGTGGTGAAGTATGGTCAAATAGCCGCACACGACCCGCACGGTGCGTGGCGAGGGACTCATCCAGCAGTGGATTAAAGGGTTGCGCATCTGTGGATGGAGGGCTACGATTGTCGCCACTATAATGATACCACTCCCGACGTTCCACAATATTGTACTCTTGTTACTTTAACGAATCCGTAAAATGATGATTAAGTTGTTGTTATTGTTGACGTATGCCCGTCATTGAGGGTTATGGCAAGGACGGATGCACCTCCGATTAGCACGGTTGGCTACGTACGGTGCGAAAGAAGTTTCAACATCAAATCGCACGAGCCTACAGGATCGTGTCAACAGATTAGCATGGTTGGCTACGTACGGTGCGAAAGAAGTTTCAACATCAAATCGCACGAGCCTACAGGATCGTGTCAACAGATATAGCTTGGCAGTCGACAAGATCCGGTTTCATAACCGGACATTTCACGCTCACCACCATCATCACGATTATCATTAACCACTGCCATGATCATCATCATCACCACTACCTTCAGCACCGCAAAAATCACCGTCACAATCGCTATCACCACTCACATCACCATAATCATCACTGCCAGCATCGCATCATCATCACCATCATCCCAACCATCATCGCCACTGCTTTCACGCAAAAATCACCGCCATCATCATTAAAATCACCGTCACAATCGCTATAATCACTCACATCATCACCATCATCAGCGACGTAATCATCAGTGCCGACATCCCAGCATGATCACCATCATCATCATTAAAATCACCGTCACAATCGCTATCATCACTCACATCATCAGCGACATAATCATCAGTGCCGACATAACAGCATGACCACCATCATCCACACCATCATCACCGCCATCATTAAAATCAATCACCGTCACAATCGCTATCATCACATCATCACCATCATAAGCGACATAATCATCAGTGCCGACATCCCAGCATGATCACCATCATCCACACCATCATCATCATTAAAATCACCGTCACAATCGCTATCATCACTCACATCATCACCATCATCAGCGACGTAATCATCAGTGCCGACATCCCAGCATGATCACCATCATCCACACCATCATTACCGCCATCATCATCATTAAAATCAATCACCGTCACAATCGCTATCATCACTCACATCATCACCATCATCAGCGACGTAATCATCAGTGCCGACATCCCAGCATGATCACCATCATCCACACCATCATCACCGCCATCATTAAAATCAATCACCGTCACAATCGCTATCATCACATCATCACCATCATAAGCGACATAATCATCAGTGCCGACATCCCAGCATGATCACCATCATCCACACCATCATCATCATTAAAATCACCGTCACAATCGCTATCATCACTCACATCATCACCATCATCAGCGACGTAATCATCAGTGCCGACATCCCAGCATGATCACCATCATCCACACCATCATTACCGCCATCATCATCATTAAAATCAATCACCGTCACAATCGCTATCATCACTCACATCATCACCATCATCAGCGACGTAATCATCAGTGCCGACATCCCAGCATGATCACCATCACTGCCGCAATAATCACGTCAGCCGGCGAGCGCTCAATGATACAGTACATGGTACAGTACAGCACAACACGTTAACCAAAGACAAAGATCCCCCCCGTATAGCCTTAACAGACTGTCGGGGCAAGTGCTGTAGCAGCACCGATGAAGGCCGGCACTGTGTGGGGGTGTGGTCGTCACCACGCCCGGCCGCCTTTGTCTCCCCGAGTGGCGATGTTTTACTCCACACCGGCGCACTGGGCACGGTGCTACGAGTCGACCAACGTTGACCACGCCGGGCATCTTTCCTGGGCCCTCGCCACTGGCGGAAGATGTCTCGGGGTGCTCACCAGCTGACTGGCCTCAGTCAGCCAGGCAAAGACAAAGATCCCCCGTGTAGCCTTCACACACTGTTAGGGGCAAGTTGCTGTGAGTGAGCAGCTGTGAAGGCCGCCACGGCGCTCACGAGGTGGGGGAGGGGGGTGTGGCCAGCCCCACACAGACACAATCACAACACGTGCAGTCCCATCACAACACGTGCAGTCCCATCACAACACGTGTAGTCCAATCACAACACGTGCAGTCCCATCACAACACGTGCAGTCCCATCACAACCCGCACGGGGAAGACAGCCGCAACGGCAGCAAGAGGAACAGCAGTGGGAACCAGTACCAACAACAGTAGTAGGAATAGTACCAACAACAGTAGGAATAGTACCAACAACAGTAGGAATAGTACCAACAACAGTAGGAATAGTACCAACAGCAGTAGGAATAGTCCCAACAGCAGTAGGAATAGTACCAACAGCAGTAGGAATAGTCCCAACAGCAGTAGGAATAGTACCAACAACAGTAGGAATAGTACCAACAGTAGGAATAGTACCAACAACAGTAGGAATAGTTCCAACAGCAGTAGGAATAGTACCAACAACAGTAGGAATAGTACCAACAACAGTAGTAGGAATAGTACCAACAACAGTAGGAATAGTACCAACAGCAGTAGGAATAGTACCAACAGCAGTAGGAATAGTACCAACAGCAGTAGGAAGTCACAACAGCAGTGGGAATAGTACCAACAGCAGTAGGAATAGTACCAACAGCAGTAGGAATAGTCCCAACAACAGTATGAATAGTACCAACAGCAGTAGGAATAGTCCCAACAGCAGTAGGAATAGTACCAACAACAGTAGGAATAGTACCAACAGCAGTAGGAATAGTCACAACAGCAGTAGGAATAGTACCAACAGCAGTAGGAATAGTACCAACAGCAGTAGGAATAGTACCAACAGCAGTAGGAATAGTACCAACAGCAGTAGGAACAATCCCAACAGCAGTAGGAATAGTACCAACAACAGTAGGAATAGTACCAACAACAGTAGGAATAGTACCAACAGCAGTGGGAATAGTACCAACAACAGTGGGAATAGTACCAACAGCAGTAGGAATAGTACCAACAACAGTAGGAATAGTACCAACAGCGGTAGGAATAGTACCAACAGCAGTAGGAATAGTACCAACAGCAGTAGGAATAGTACCAACAGCAGTAGGAACAATCCCAACAGCAGTAGGAATAGTACCAACAACAGTAGGAATAGTACCAACAACAGTAGGAATAGTACCAACAGCAGTGGGAATAGTTCCAACAGCAGTAGGAATAGTCACAACAGTAGTGGGAATAGTCACAACAGTAGGAATAGTCACAACAGTAGTAGGAATAGTACCAACAGCAGTAGGAATAGTACCAACGGCAGTGGGAAGCAGTACCAACAATAGTAGGAATAGTACCAACAGCAGTAGGAATAGTACCAACAGTAGGAAGTCCCAACAGTAGTAGGAATAGTTCCAACAGTAGTAGGAATAGTACCAACAGCAGTGGGAAGCCGTACCAACAATAGTAGGAATAGTACCAACAACAGTGGGAATAGTTCCAACAGCAGTAGGAATAGTACCAACAACAGTAGGAATAGTACCAACAGCAGTGGGAAGCAGTACCAACAACAGTAGGAATAGTCCCAACAGCAGTAGGAATAGTACCAACAACAGTAGGAATAGTACCAACAGCAGTGGGAAGCAGTACCAACAACAGTAGGAATAGTACCAACAACAGTAGGAATAGTTCCAACAGTAGTAGGAATAGTACCAACAACAGTAGGAATAGTACCAACAGCAGTGGGAATAGTACCAACAACAGTGGGAATAGTCACAACAGTAGTAGGAATAGTACCAACAACATTGGGAATAGTTCCAACAGCAGTAGGAATAGTCACAACAGTAGTGGGAATAGTCACAACAGTAGGAATAGTCACAACAGTAGTAGGAATAGTTCCAACAGCAGTAGGAATAGTACCAACAGCAGTGGGAAGCAGTACCAACAATAGTAGGAATAGTACCAACAGCAGTAGGAATAGTACCAACAGTAGGAATAGTCCCAACAGTAGTAGGAATAGTTCCAACAGTAGTAGGAATAGTACCAACAGCAGTGGGAAGCAGTACCAACAATAGTAGGAATAGTACCAACAACAGTGGGAATAGTTCCAACAGCAGTAGGAATAGTACCAACAACAGTAGGAATAGTACCAACAGCAGTGGGAAGCAGTACCAACAACAGTAGGAATAGTCCCAACAGCAGTAGGAATAGTACCAACAACAGTAGGAATAGTACCAACAGCAGTGGGAAGCAGTACCAACAACAGTAGGAATAGTACCAACAACAGTAGGAATAGTTCCAACAGTAGTAGGAATAGTACCAACAACGGTAGGAATAGTACCAACAGCAGTGGGAATAGTACCAACAGTAGTAGGAATAGTACCAACAGCAGTGGGAATAGTACCAACAACAGTGGGAATAGCCACAACAGTAGTAGGAATAGTACCAACAGCAGTAGGAATAGTACCAACAACAGTGGGAATAGTACCAACAACAGTGGGAATAGTTCCAACAGCAGTAGGAATAGTACCAACAACAGTAGGAATAGTACCAACAGCAGTGGGAAGCAGTACCAACAACTGTGGGAATAGTTCCAACAGCAGTAGGAATAGTACCAACAGCAGTGGGAATAGTACCAAGAGCAGTGGGAATAGTCCCAACAGCAGTAGGAATAGTCCCAACAGCAGTAGGAATAGTTCCAACAGTAGTAGGAATAGTACCAACAGCAGTGGGAATAGTACCAACAGCAGTAGGAATAGTACCAACAGCAGTAGGAATAGTACCAACAGTAGTAGGAAGTCACAACAGTAGTAGGAATAGTACCAACAGCAGTAGGAATAGTACCAACAGCAGTGGGAATAGTACCAACAGCAGTAGGAATAGTACCAACAGCGGTAGGAATAGTCCCAACAGCAGTAGGAATAGTCCCAACAGCAGTAGGAATAGTACCAACAGCAGTAGGAATAGTACCAACAACAGTAGGAATAGTACCAACAGTAGGAATAGTACCAACAGTAGTAGGAATAGTACCAACAACAGTAGGAAGTCACAACAGTAGTAGGAATAGTACCAACAGTAGGAATAGTCCCAACAGTAGTAGGAATAGTTCCAACAGTAGTAGGAATAGTACCAACAGCAGTAGGAATAGTACCAACAACAGTGGGAATAGTTCCAACAGCAGTAGGAATAGTACCAACAACAGTAGGAATAGTACCAACAGCAGTGGGAAGCAGTACCAACAACAGTAGGAATAGTCCCAACAGCAGTAGGAATAGTACCAACAACAGTAGGAATAGTACCAACAGCAGTGGGAAGCAGTACCAACAACAGTAGGAATAGTACCAACAACAGTAGGAATAGTTCCAACAGTAGTAGGAATAGTACCAACAACGGTAGGAATAGTACCAACAGCAGTAGGAATAGTTCCAACAGCAGTAGGAATAGTACCAACAGCAGTGGGAATAGTACCAACAGTAGTAGGAATAGTACCAACAGCAGTGGGAATAGTACCAACAACAGTGGGAATAGTCACAACAGTAGTAGGAATAGTACCAACAGCAGTAGGAATAGTACCAACAACAGTGGGAATAGTACCAACAACAGTGGGAATAGTTCCAACAGCAGTAGGAATAGTACCAACAACAGTAGGAATAGTACCAACAGCAGTGGGAAGCAGTACCAACAACAGTAGGAATAGTACCAACAACAGTAGGAATAGTTCCAACAGCAGTAGGAATAGTACCAACAGCAGTGGGAATAGTCCCAACAGCAGTAGGAATAGTCCCAACAGCAGTAGGAATAGTTCCAACAGTAGTAGGAATAGTACCAACAGCAGTGGGAATAGTACCAACAGCAGTAGGAATAGTACCAACAGCAGTAGGAATAGTACCAACAGTAGTAGGAAGTCACAACAGTAGTAGGAATAGTACCAACAGCAGTAGGAATAGTACCAACAACAGTGGGAATAGTTCCAACAGCAGTAGGAATAGTCACAACAGTAGTGGGAATAGTCACAACAGTAGTAGGAATAGTCACAACAGTAGGAATAGTCACAACAGTAGTAGGAATAGTACCAACGGCAGTGGGAAGCAGTACCAACAATAGTAGGAATAGTACCAACAGCAGTAGGAATAGTACCAACAGCAGTGGGAAGCAGTACCAACAACAGTAGGAATAGTACCAACAACAGTAGGAATAGTTCCAACAGTAGTAGGAATAGTACCAACAACAGTAGGAATAGTACCAACAGCAGTGGGAATAGTACCAACAACAGTGGGAATAGTCACAACAGTAGTAGGAATAGTACCAACAACAGTGGGAATAGTTCCAACAGCAGTAGGAATAGTCACAACAGTAGTGGGAATAGTCACAACAGTAGGAATAGTCACAACAGTAGTAGGAATAGTTCCAACAGCAGTAGGAATAGTACCAACAGCAGTGGGAAGCAGTACCAACAATAGTAGGAATAGTACCAACAGCAG